AGCTGTATTTGCAACAGGCACAGCCAGAAGAGCTTCACAGAATTACTTTAACTTCTGCTGTTAAATCCAGAATTAAAAGGCTTACAGTTTCAAAACTGTGAATTCACTACTTCCAGCCTACAGATCCATTTTAAAGCAAAGCAGCAAAGAGAGACAGTCCTTTGCATATCAATGTGCAGACAGGTTTTGTTTTGAAAAGAACTGAAGTAGGTAGTGATCCAGCCTACAGTAAGAAGCAGATCTATGTGCTGCCATCAATCAGGTGTTTTTTAAACAGCGCTGCCACAAAACAACTGTGCAATATTACTGAGACTTACGATCATCTGCATCTAACTTTTCTTCATTCGCTGAGAACTTCTTAGTTTCTCCATCATCTTCATTTTTTTTCTTATTCCAAAAGAAAATACCGTAGTTATGAATATTTTACTTATTTTTCAGGATATACATGAGTAACATAATATTCACAACATTTATACAGCCTGCACAGAAAGAGGACAACATGGGGAAGCCATATAAAGAGCACAGAAGAGGAACATTAGAAACTCAGCTGATTACAATAAGATGACAAAGGTTCCTCAAGCTCCATAGGAGGAAAAAACAAAAACCAGACAAACCCACATGCATAAATACCCCACATTTTTGCACAGGCAGAGGGGCTTTATCTGAGGAGCAAAACACATCAAATAGAGTAAGTTATTTTCCATTGTAATGTCAGTATAATGTTTGGGGTTTTTTTATAACATACTGAAGGAAAAACTCTAATAATTGCTCACTAGTGTCTGTATCAACAATTTACCATCAGTGACTTAGTATCTAGAAGGGCATAATTAGTCTAACAGGAAATCTATGCCCAGTCTCTGAGAGAAGGACACAAAGTACTTGCTTTGCTTGGAACTCTTCACATCCTCTCTTAGCAAATAAATATAACTAGAGAGAGGGAAAGTGATGCAGTCTCTCACAGTTAGCTTAGCTTCAGTATAAACCCCACCAACACAACCTCCCATGACTAAAGTCAAAGATCATTTACATGACATCTGCTCCAAGACCAATTTAACAATAAAACTAAACAGATTATCAGTCACTGTGGTGGCCTAGAAATTGGCTATTTTTAAGCCAAGGAATTAGTAGCTTACTAGCTTTCTTCAAGCAAAGCTTAAGATATTGCCAGCTCTTACTGTATCATTTTACTGAGTCAACTTTTACATCATTGTTTATTCCTGGCTACACTAGTCTTTAAAGAACTTGGTCACCAATAATTGACAGGTTCCCAAAATTTATGATCTGCCAAAATTCAGTTATTATTTACCTTCCACATAAAAAAAACAGCATAGCAATCTGAAAGCTGCAGTGCTCTTCTTTTTGAGGGAAGAGAAGGGAAAAAAAAAAAGGGTTTGGTAGACTATTTCCAAATGGAAGGCTATCTAATGAAGTCACTTTCTACAGTGTAGCTGGATGCTTATTTATGTAAGCACTTACTGACACCCATTTTATGCAAGTGCCCCCCTCGACAGGGGCCCACTAACTGTACGCAGCCATCTTCTTTCATCGAGTACAAGAATTAAAATAATAATAAAACCAGTTCAGATAGTCAGTTACATAATTGCCTTGAGATGTCAGAAGGAAGTCCATAAGGAACACTACCTTCTTAAATCACTCTGTTAAAACAAAGGGTGCAATTGGACGTTTGCTTATTAAACCATATGCTGTAGTGTCAAGCCCAAACTGCACGTCTGGTTAAGGAAACAGCTCATAGCTCTTCCATTACAGGACCACACAAAAAAGTTATCATGTAGTTTAAAAGTATATGTGTCACTAATATGAATGACATTATAACAGTAATCAAGTCAGCAATCACCATTAAATCCAGACAGATCTATGATACACATGGAAGTTTCTTATAGGTGTTTTCAGAAATTATCATGCAATACAACATAGCTTCAAAATAAGAGTTTCTCTACCTTTTTCTTCTTGTCTTTAAACTGCTTTATTAAAGTGATCAAATGCTCCACTAGAAACATGACATACAAGCCTCCAAGTGCTGTAAGTCCCTTCCATGTAGAATCCAGGTAAGCACTCTCGTCTACATTTTGAAAAATAAGATGTTTGAACATGGAGCTTTTGTTTTGCTCAAGCAGAGGTTTTTCATGGCGATGGTGATGGTTTCCATGAGACTAAGAGGAGAACCAAATGGGGAAAGTCATTATACTCAAAAGAACTGATAACATAAGAAACATAGAAAGTATTCTTCACATTCTTTTCCTCAAGTGTGGAGTCCAGACTTAACAGTTTTCATGGGGTAAATGCTTTGGGTGCAAACTCAAACAATTATGAAGAAATCAGTTGACAGGAAGAAACATTGCAGGGACTGAGAGCAGGCCAGGTACTCAGCCTCTCACTGCAGCAACCTGCATACTGCTCAGTACAGCTGCTCCCACAAAAACTCCTGACTGCCAAAGAAACTGCATGTTAAGTAGCAGTCATAGCCAGCACACCACTTACTTTCCTATCTAAGACAGTTCATAGACATCCAACACCTTTTTCTACACGGAACTTAACAGCAATTTCCTTCTTTAAAGGGAATTCAAACATTCTTCCCCTCCTCACTACTGATATGTTTGGAATCAAAAAACTTCTAGGACACCTCACTCACACATGTTTAGATTTACATAGCCTCACAAAACATACAAAATTAACTGAAAGGAAAAAGAACCTGATGAATTTCCACAGGATCAGAGTAAGTTACCTTTTTTTGGGGGGGTGAGGGGGGAAGCAGGGCAGGGGGGAATGTCTGTTTAAGGGCTTCAAGAAAGGCAGAAATTTAATAATGATATTCCAATTTCATCGTCCATATTACATAAAAGCAATATGTAATTCCAAAGTCTATCAAGTAATGTTTTCCCAGGACTTCAGAAATGCTTGATTCTGATAAAAAATTCACAATGGATAAGCAATTAACATAAGTGGCTGATAAGAGAGAAGAGTGGATTCTCTCTTCCACATTTAAAGTATACAATGAGCCACTTCTGCTATCTATAAAGTTCATTAAACTAGAAAAACAAGTGACTAAACATTTATGCAAACCTCTTGCATGCAAGGAATGAGTGATTCGGCAGCATATATGACTAAGAACAGGAAACAGACTGAAGGATAATGGTGTGAAGTCCTTATACTAGAAGGACGGTGAAATGAAAAATAGTTCCAAATGGAAAACCTTTCCATCAGATAATCTACCTTACAAGGTTGAGAAATCACAACCAATTTGACTCACCAAATCAGTATTAATTAATAGGGATTAAAATTATCACTAAAATGTACAGACAGTTGTCAAATTATTTACTTTGAGATAATGAATGAAACAGTAATTAATACTTACATGTGGAAGGAGATGTAAGAAAGCATCTCCACTCAAAGTCCCCACAGCCAATGCCACAAGAAAACTTAGAAGAAACTTGAAAAATACACGATTCATCAGTGGTACCAATATAACACCCAGTAAGGAAAGAAAACTGATGACAGATATGGATATAAAGCCACCAATCCAAGCTGGTAAAAAAAAAAAAAAGTAACAAGAATCAATAACAGCTCCATGCTATTTTGTTTGCTTAGCATTCCTTTTATCAAATACTCCTGATCATCCAATTAATAGATGTTAACAAATTGTAAGCCACAAAGGTTTCTCTCTAGACATGGTCAAGTGCCAAAAGAAAATTACAAACTTCTTTCAACTTTGAAATATGTTTCTCAAATTTATAACCAACATAAATGGGTTTCCAGAAAGTTTTTATTCCATGTTAAAAAAACCAACATACCTATTTGCACAGCAGAGTAACTTTTTGGAGGAGTTTCAGCTTTTTCACTAGTTGCATGGACTATGCAGTATTTGCCATCGATCTGATTAATAAGAGCTGGACAGAGGTAACTAAATTCTGTAGCAGTCAACAATACTTGAGTGCCTATTCCATGGGACTGCATCAGTTTTGATGCACTGGAGCACTGTGGAAAGACACACATGTTAAAGATCAACCAGAACCAAAATACCATCACAGATCTCAAGAGATTACATTCCATTTTAATTGAAATGCAGTGGCACCACATGTATGAACAGTAATTAAAAACAGGTAACAAACCAATTTACTAAGAACTGCACCTCTACTCCCTTTCTGGTCCAGAAAGCTAGTTTGGGAGTCCTGGTAGATGAGGCACAGTTACCACTTACTCTCAGCAAAAGGGGGTCAGAAGCTCTGCTGTGCAAACAGAAAAAGCATCACAGTTTTGATTCCACTCTAGAGGCCGTACGAGGAAGTAGGAACAAGGTTAAACAGCTTTTTACAGAAGTGATTGCTATGGGAAGTCTTGTACAGGAGGCGTCCTGCATACGCTTCCTCCAGGAAAGAGTTCCTCACTGCAGAACCTACAGTCTCACTGGGTTTAAATAACAGTGGCACTTCTGCTCTGACTGTGCAGAACACAGGAACAGCTTGTGAATTCAGTACCTACAGTCACACCATACGCAACACCCGCTCTGAATCACCTGGCACAGCTGCACACATTAAGACACCAGAGAAACACTTGCTTTTTAAAGCCTTTAAAGGAGAAGGATCTGATTATGTAAGAAAACTATCTACAGCACAACGACAGACTTTATCAACACTAATTTCTACTATTTTAAAGTAACAGGTAACATTTTGGAGCAGTCTTTTACAGTTGGTCTCTACATACGATCTTAAAGTGAAGATGGGGAGGAAGGTGCCAGTTGCTTCCCTGCAGTTCTACACTATCTGCCATAGGATTATCTCACACTTGTGAGGCAGTTTTGATAAGAATGACAGTATTTTAACTAGATTTTTTTTTTTTTTTTTTTTACTTTCACCACATTACTAGGAAAACAAGACAGATTCTGGCTTTAATGCAGAATACCAAATTTCAAATTTAAATTTTTAGTAAGATTTAAACATAATACGCAAATGATAAATATATAAAACCAAGCGTGTGTTGTACCAATGTAAGTACATATTTCTTTTTAGGAAAAGTTAAAAATAACTAGACTGCACATCTATTTTCCTCCAAGCTTGGCACAACATTCTTTCAAAATGTTAAGTTTCAAGGACAGTTTTTGTGTGTGTTTTGCTACGAATACTGTTACACTACAAAGCTTGTACCCAGTTAAGTGATAAGCACCTGACAAATAATCCATAACAACATTCCCAGTGGACGTGGATTCCCAAGAACACATAAGAATCAGTCTCACCTCCTGGGTATTTTGGTTTTTCGATTTATAATGCAGGTAACTTCCTCTCTCCGACTCCCTGGGAGAAGCGCGAGACTCATTTGCTCTGCTGTTAGCAAGCCAGCTCGCGTTGCTGCCACCCGTGACATTAACAGCGTTAGAGCTGGTCAGACCGAAACGAGCAACCGGCCTGACCTCCCCAGGTTGCACGTTCTGTAATTCAGAGTGGCCATCTGTGGGGGCAGTGATGATGGGTGCCATTATTTCATTAACGGTGCTCTTGCTGCGTACAAAGTTCTTCTGATGTTCTACGTTCTCCACTTTATGAGGCTCCTTTGAGCGACTGTTCCTGTGGTCTTTGTTAGAGCCAGACTCACGGTTAGGACAAACAGTCTTCTCGGAGTTTTTACTCGAGGGAACATGATTATGATGAAGGTGATGATCATGGTCATGATCATGGTCTATTTTAATCCTTTTTATTTTATCTATACCTATGTTCTGGAGCAGTTTTCTAAACCCCTCAATTGACAGAGAGTTGTTTTCTCCATAACGATGAAAAAGTTCTTGGAGGTGAAACTTCTGTAGAAATCCTGCCAAGTCAGTATTGATGCCAGCTGCCTTTTCGGGAAAAGTTCTCTCTGATGTATGCACAACAGTAGCTGTCTCCTCTCCGTGACGGTAACTTCCACACAGTGGTATGGAAAACAACACAAGGAAAGCGACTGATACGGTGCTCTCCATTGCAGTTTTTTTAGCAGCAAAAAAAGAAATCTAGAAAAAGAAAACAATTTCAACAGTGTGCATAAAATTCATCACATCTTCCTCTGTAATAGAGGTTCATAATTTACTTAAACAAAAAACAACCCCAAACAACAAACAACACAACAAACCCTGCTCATCAAATCAATGCAGTGAGAGAAGAGCCATTCAAATTTCTGACACATTCAGCATTTTCCCCAGATGTGTGGCCTCAGGCTAACAGAAGATGAAGCTGCACACAACAGTGAGGTCACTGGCTGTAAACAGCCCTCAGGTGTAATCTCACCTTTGTTTAGTTTGGCCTGAGTCAGTTTTCTAACAGAAGCTAAACAGCAAAAGCATCCTCAAGGGCACACCAACCAAGGTCTAGTTTAGGCTTTTCTTGTGCTTAAAAAAACCCTTATAATTTAACCCTTTGCAAAAAGTAAGGATTACAAGTTACATGTTCCTGCTTAAAAATCAAAATTCCAAATCTTCCATCGCTGCATCCCCAGAGCTCTTGGCCAGTCAGCACTTCACAGCAATTATTTTCAGGCCGTCGCATCCTGCCCGCGCTCTAACACAGCTACCACTCGGCTCCTTTCGCTCGGCAGGCAGCCCACTGCGTGGACTCCGCGTTCACGCGTGTGAGGTTCGCGTGGTTTACCGCACAAACCCTCCGGCCAGGCCAGGCAGGCACCGACAGGAGCCCGGGCGCAGGAGCAGGCCGGGGCTGCCGCGGCCCTTTGCCAGGGCGGCGCAGATACGGAGAACCGCATCCTCTTCGGTCAGACCGGGACAGGCAGCCTCAAAA